ACAAACAAATATCTTTTTTCGATTGAGCTACTTCAATAACAAGAAAGTATCGAAGGAGACCTAAGTCTTTGGTGTAGAACTACCTTTTGAAATAAGTTTTGAAATGGGCATTGCTAGTTGAGTCACTACTGATGATAATATTATCGACATAGACAATGAGAACACATAAACATTGGGTTTGCGTGTAAACACAATATGATCTGAATTAGAGTGCTGAAAGCCATACTGAAGTACAACGTCACTAAATTTATCAAACCAATATAGTGTTTTCTTCAACTGACCAACTAACTGTTTATTTCTAGAGACAGCATATCCCAGTGGTTAAACCATATACACTTTCTCCTGTACATCTTCATGTGAAAAAGCATTTTTTTACATCTTGTTGATACAAATGCCAATCTAAACTTATTGCAATGGAAAACAAAATCTAGTAGAGTTAAGACGAGCAATAGGGGAAAATGTCTCACAATAATTCACGCCATATATTTAAGTGTAGCCCTTGGCAACCAACTGCGCCTTTAAGTGTTCAATAGAACTGTAAGAAAGATACTTCACAACATACACCTTCCGACAACTATCAAGCTCCTTACCAGGAGGTAATAAAGAGAGGTACCATATCTAATTCTCATGAAGAGTTTTCATTTCTTTATTTATTGCCAATTTCCATCTAGGAGAAGATAAGGTCTATTTGAAATAGCTAGGAATAGATACAAAAGACGGTGCTGATGCAAAAGAACGAAAAGATGATGAAATGAGACAAAATTAGAAATAGGATGTTGTATGTAACTACGAGTATCTTTTTGTAATGCAATGGACAGATCAGAAGACGATGGAGTAACAGTTGACTCAAGGGGTTGGACCTTAGTAGAAGTTGGTGTTAGTTGTGAAGCTAGAGCATAAGGCACAACCTATCTATCCTTGGAGCAACTGTAAACCTATAGTGGAAGAGCAGACACTTGTGGAAGAGAAGACACAAGGACTAGAATAGGCAACAAAAGCTCCCCTTGAACAAGAGACACCAAATCTACAATAAGGTTATGACCTAACACAAAAAAGAAGGGTGATTACTTAAAGAAGGTAACATCGATGTTGACATGGTAGTGACGAGAGACGGAATTACAGCATTGATAATTTTTCTAAGTATGAGAATATCTCAAAAAAATACACTTGCCTCAGTGAAGTGACAAATTTATAATGATGAGAACCAAATAGATGAACAAAGACATTAAACATCAAGGTGTGGGCAGCATCTAACAAATAATGATGTTTAAGTTCGGCTACACCATTTTGTTGGGAGGTATATAGGCAGGTAGTTTGATGGGTAATGCCACGGTTGACACAAAAGTTTTTTATAAACGATTGAGTATATTCAAGGGTATTGTCCGATTGTAGAGCTTTAATACGTATATCAAATTGAATCGGAATTTTAATATAAAAAGTGGCAAAGACCTTAGGCAATTCAGATCGATCTTTCATAAGGAATAACCAAGTCATACGAGAGAAGTCAAAGATTACAAAATACTGAAATCAGAAATACTTTTGAGCGTTGCAGGACCCCAAATGTCTAAGTGGACAACATTAAAAGAACTAGATTGATGGCTTGAAGAACTTGGAGGAAAAGAACTATGGTGATGCTTGCCTAATTGACAAGCCTCACATTCTAACATAGAAGAAAAACTCAAACAATGGATAATTTAACGCAATTTCTACACGTAAGGATGACCCAGTCGAAACTGGCACCGAACAAGAGACATGGCAACACTTAATGCAAGAATAGTACCGCTGGAATCCAAGTAGTAAAGGGTATTACTGTCATGCCCCAAACCAATTACTTTTTTTACCTTGAGGTCCGAAAAAACATAAGAATATGGAAAAAAAAGTTACTGAACGCTGTAAGGACTTGGTTAACTGACTCACAAATAACAAGTTAAAGGAAAAGTTAGGAAGAAATAAATTAGATGTTAATGACATAGACTGAGTATGACAGAGATCGTCAGTGTTATGTATATTTGAAAAGATCAATTGGTTAACACAAGATGAAAAAGGTTGGGTAGCAACAACCAGAGTTACCTCCATTAGCAAAACCGTGGGTAGAAGTAGACAAATATGGAAAAAGTGTAGATAACTAGTGGATGAGCTGACTAAGCTGATAAGAAAGATTATCATGAGAGCGAGAAGTGGATGCAATTGGACCATCTATAGAAGTTGGATGCACTTGAGAACCTAAAGTACCATCAGAAGCCTGATTAGCATATGTTGGTCTCCCATATTTATTCTAACAATAATGCTTTGTATGTCCCGTGCCACAACAATAACTAATCATTCGAACGATTACCGCGGCTAGAACGACAACCACAACCAGTACCTCGACCACCAGCAGTAGCATTATGGAGTGGACCACGTCCACCACCACCGAAAACATCAAGTTTACCCCTACTCATATCAACGTGAGTGGCCATGAAAAAAAAACTAATAGTAGCAATATGCAACTCTACACAAGAGGAAACCACCAATGGAGTGGTGATTAAATACTCCACAATAGCTAACAACAAAACCCAACAATCCAGTAGATCCACTATTCCACAATCTCACCCACACACATTACAGAAGTAGGAATCCTATCTACTCATACATCCACAAACAGCACAAAACAAGAATCAAACCTCAATTGACCCAAAATAGGGGCTGAAGAACTCAGCTGAGAAATCCTACTTTGTAGCCGAACCCTTGAACAACCAAGAAGCCCTCACAAATCAACCCAAACAAACATGGGTTATCCAAAACAACACCCAAGAGATGTAGTCGGAGATTTACCTCTCAAGTAGAGAAACATAGACTTCTTAGTACATCCAAATCATTAGCTTGCCAAGAAACAAGGAATAATAAAGCCGGTTGCCTAAAAGTAAATAAAAAAAAAAGCCCCAAAAACTGACTGTTGAGCCTCATAAACTTGAAGAATCTGCTCAAACCATTGTAAAAACTACTGGGCATTACTTCTTAGCCTTAGACACATACCATATAGTAGAATCGTATCAAAACAAAGGGGTACTGTGCTCAAAACAAGCAAATCTCAGCCTCTAGCAGCCCCAAACACGAAAATCATGAAAAAAATCGGAAAGTCAATGCAAACGGTTGCAAATAATTATGGCAAAATAACCACAATGCTTAGAAAATCATGGCAAATCAAACCATGTTGCTCCCGATCAAATCTAACAAAGTTTATGCCAACATCATCATGTCAGATTCTGACAATGGCCTGCCTGGAATTCTCCCACTGGCTCCAACAAGTTTTTAATGTATTAGGCTGAGATCAATGCTTTGATACGCAATTAAAACTTGAATAATTGAACATTAGGGTTTAGGCAAAGAAAGAGAAGGAGAAGAAGAGAGAGAGAAATTATGGAACAATATTGTGAGTAGGATATGTGTTGCCAACACCTATTTATATTAGATTGATATTAAAGAGCATTACAATATTAGGAAAGCAGAAGATAGTGGGAAAGTAAATAGAAAGGAAATCTCTAACAGTAGGAAAGCAACATCGTTAGAAAGTAAAACTCCGACATATTGCTCTATAATTCCTTATACTTTCTACATTATTATATATTTATACAGTAGAAATTCTTGCTGATTCACAATGGGTGGTGGTGTTTTCTGTGTTATCAACGTACACGAACTTAGACTGTATTTGCTCCATGTCTGTGATGTATATGTATCATAAGTGGAAGGGTACCTAATGTCACAAGTCAACAAACATACCCATAGTCATGACTCTAGAAAGCTAAATTACCAAGTATAAAGGTTTGAATGAAAAAGAGTAGTGTGCGTATCTACACATCCTTTAAGAAAATGCCATTGAATTTCCTTACTATTCAGAATCTGGGAATTTTTCTTTAAAATCAGGCAAGTTTTAGCTTTTATGCTTCAGCAAATAACAGAGTTCAATTTTTGAACTCTCTTCTTGTTTTGTATGCTCAATATTATCTGTATTATCAACCTAGAGACATTATTATGGCCTTTCTGCCAACACATCAAGGTATTAGTTTAATACATTGCAAATGTTTTTTTTTTTTTAATTTTGTCTTGTTTTGCACCAATTAATTCTTCTTTTGGCTATGACATTTAATGTTGCAGTCTTGGTGAAAGATCATCAAATTTAATGAGCTATTTAAAACATGGTAGAAGCATTCACATATGTTGAATTAAAGGATCAATACCACAACTTAAAATTTAATGATACTTTTAGGATAACTTGTGAAATTGCACAAGTTGTTTTGGATGCTTATGTATCATTTTATCCCTACTTGTTTATTAATGTAGAATACTTGCAGAGCACTTCCTTATGCCATGATGTACTTTCTTTTTTATTTAAATACCTAAATCATGTGGTCCTGGCTTTTCATTGAGTGTGCTTCTCAAGTGATCAGGTAGCCCGTTCAAGTTCTATGCCTCCCAATGCAAGGGATATGTTATACCAGAGCCTGCCTCCTAGTATAAAATATTCTTTGAGATCCAAACTGGAATCTTTTCATGTCAAGGAAGAGGTACTCTCTTAGTTATGGTTCTTCCTGATGTTGTTCGAGTACATGCATGCTATTTTTTTGTTTTTCGTAAATCCCCAACTTGATTTTCCATAACCATCAAGCATTTGTTTGAGTGGCATCTCCTTTGTCTCCAATCAGGTAGTTAGAGATTTGAGCTCCTGTTGGACAATTTGTGTTTGGGCTCATCCAGTTAAAAAAATTATTGTCACATATCCAATAAATTGGATGAAAGGAAATGGCAAGTTTGTAATTTAATGCAAATGAGTTTCTTTCAATTTTTCTTTCCAAGCTTCAAATGTTTTTCATTGTATTATTCAGTCAAAAGTTTCTTGTTGTAAAATGTGCTTGTTATGTTTGCTATAATTCTTGTAAGTTGTTATGTGCAGCTCACTGTAACAGAAATCAAAGCTGAGATGGAGAAAACTTTGCAATGGCTTGTTCCTATTGCCACAAACACAGCAAAGTATGATCTCCAACCTCCTTACAAATAGCTAAACCTTTAATTCTAGTTTATTTGATTATTCCTTTGCTGCATTAACCTTCTTATGTACAGTTCACTCATCTATTTTGATAATGTGTTTTGTTGTTTTTTGCTGCCAATATTTTTTAAGAGCTCATCATGGATTTGGTTGGGTTGGAGAGTGGGCAAATACAGGGTGAGTAACAAATATCATCTAATGTTACTGAAATATTTTCGAATTCCCCCTTGTATGATAAAATCAACATGAATCAGTAAGATAAGTTCGTAATTTAAGGGAAATATGGTTCTTAATTCTCATGTGTAAAGGTCTGAAGCAAATCGGAAGCCAGCTGGGCCTATTGAGGCGATTCTGATTGAGACACTCCACCATGCAGACAGGGAGAAGACAGAATCCTTAATTCTTGAACTAGTCTTGTGGCTTAACTATTTGATAGGCCAATCAAAGGCTGGTGCAAAAGATGGTGGCAAGAGAACTCCAATTAATTCACCCCTCCTGGAAGCAAATCAGCAGCCCATGCAAGAAGCGGCTAATGCTTTGTCACCAATTTTAAGCATTGAAGACCAGGAGATGTTGCAGGATGTTAGCAACAGAAAACAGAGAGGAATCAGTAAGAGTCAGGACTTCGACTCTCCAAAAAACACGTTAAGAAAGCATGACAGACTAAGCAAAAGTAGCAGTCACTCTCCTACAAGGGGAAGCGATGAAGTGATCTCTATGAAGAGGCATTCCTCAAGCATTCTTGCTCTTAATTTTGGTCGCGACAAAGAGAAAGCATTGGGTGTCATTGATAGGGACGACACCCAGATGTAAGTTACGTTGTTATATGTATGTATATAGACACAATACACATCATCAAGAGTGAGGGCAAATCTGAAAATTCGTTATTAATGAGGCGGAGCCTACCTGTGTACGTGTGTTGATAGTTGGGCTGTATGTAGAATGGAATGGTACCCATTTCTGTTGTTTTTGTCTAGCCAGAGATTTTATTGTTTGCTTATAAGATCTGCAAGGAATTCCGATTGTTTTTTTGTTGCGGAAAAGAGGGAAAATGATCAACAGCAAGGATGCTTTGTGTACAGACTACCAAAGTATTTCATGGTAATTTATGGGTTGGAGTCGAAGATTATGTATCAAGCCAGAACCAGTATCACAATTAAGGAAATAATTATTTACTTATTTATACCTCCGTCAGTCAAAAGTTTAAATTACCTTTTGGTTACACTTTTTGAAAGTCTTTTGTTGGTTTTTAACTTACTTTGAGAACTTTTTGAAAGTAGGATTTGTTTTTGCATTTTTGTTTTTTCCTCTTTGGGGTTTACTCTATTCTTCTAATCAAAAGCATATTTATGGTAAATATAAAATACACTTATATCAACTGTATAATTAATGTAGTAAAATGCTTGTAGATCACTTTTCTAACAGTTATTACACGTTTTTATTTATTTTTATTTATTTTTTGATGAAATAGTACCAAACGGTGCCTCAATTTTTTTAGACTCCTCATTCTGTGGATTTATTCTCACACCACCATTATGCCATGTTGCTTGGTGATAGCAAGTCTCGGAAGGTGACTAAAATTATTTAGATTCCTATATTTCTTGGGGTGGGATTGTATTCGCTCCAAAAATATTTATTTTCACTTTATTAAAAAATCTAAAATGAAACTACTATTTTAAGTATATTCTATGTCTACCACATCAGAAATGCTATTGAGACTTAATTTATTGACATAATTTGTTGACTTAATTCACAGTGACTTTTGGATTGATTGTAAGCTCTATCAAGTATTAGAACTTGACATGGATTTAATGATTCTTATGAAATCACATCATTATATCAGCAAATTAAGTCAGATTTTTAGGTCCAAATAAAACATTATGTCAAATTTTTAAGTTTAAATAGCATTACACCTACCACATTATTGATTAGGTCCATCCCGTTCTATGCCCACTTCATTAATAGGTAAATTTACCTCAATATGCACCCATCGCATTAGCATGTTAGATATATTATTCCCACCTCTTTCTACTCCTCAACTGCAAACCTTATATCTTCCCAAGCTCTAGTTGTGTGTATTGCAGAAACACAGAGGAAAGTCACTGCCGTCTTTTCTTTGATTGCTTAGTGACTGGTAGAATTTGGAACAAAGTTCTTCAACTCACTCAAGCATCTTGGTTTTCTCTCTCATGGCCAAATGCGATACATACAGCTTTTGATTATTGGAGAGGAATATCTCTTAGGATCATTGTGCTTAAATTAAGCCTTGCAACCACAATTTACACTCTTTGGAGAGAAAGAACTGCTAGAATCTTCAGGAACGAATACAAGGATGTAACAACCATCTTTAAATCCATTATTCAACTTATCAAGTGCAAACTTATCACTACTAACTACCAACATACTCCAATGAACTTAGCCTTCCTTCAGATGTGGAGTTCCTCGGCCTCTAATGCTCTTGCTAGATTATGAGCTCCTTTTGCTTCTTTTGTTTTCATAAACGGAAGTGAGGAAGAATGCCACAAGCATTTATTTTTTTGAATGCCCTGTTACATCTGGGATATGGAGAGCAGTGCTGCAAAGGAATGGAGAGCCTTGACGGCCTAAACCTTGGCAATCTCTCATTCTTAGTGCTTCTAAAGAATGGAAAGAGATGACTTTAAAGATGGAAACTTTGAAGCTCCGCCTTGCAGCTACTGTTTATACCCTTTTCTTTCCTAGCTGAGTTGTTGATGGATGGGAGTTACCTTTCTTGTACATTGTATGAGTTCAACCTGTAGTAGCACTGGCCAAGCAACCAGTGCTCTTTCTAGATTGACTCTTCTGTTTTTTTTTTGAGCACCACGCTTGATGCTGTTTTTTTGTAACACCTTGGGCTTGTAAATTTGCATAGCATATCAATACAACGTTTACTTACCCAAAAAATATAACTAGCTGTATGAAATACATAGCCAACATTTCGTCTTTTGTGACTTATCCAAAGTAGAAATGTTGTGCTTTGTAATTTTATTTGATAATATATGGCTCTATTCTGCCAATAGTTTCAATTGAGTCATTAACTAGTGATCGTAGATCAGGAATACAGATCAAGATTCATTCTAGCACTAACTTCTATAAACCTGAGACCATGGAAATATCAGTCTTCATTCGTCTTGAATAGCAGGAAATTTTGACTGTTTGTGACAACACTGTGTTCCTTGGCCTAGTCTTTTATAATGTTAGTCTAACCTTAGGAGAGGCATTCTTCACAATATTCGAATTATTTGGCTGATGTCATCCTGTTAATACTAATGTCCATTGGTCGAAGAAGCGGTGTTACAAGTATTATCATTGCATTCTTAGTTGTATTTTGAATATATGAAGGGGTGTCCGTATAATTATGTCAAAGACTAGTTGTTCATACAAATGAGCTAAAGAAATGTAGTTAAGAATGTTTCATCATTTTCAGCATATAGCTTTCTCCAACACCTTTTGTTCCTGAATTTTCTGGGCAGTTCCTTTTGAGTCCATAAGGGTGAGGATGAGAATTTCTTTCCACTTGCTATCTTGCTTTTTTCTTAACTGCTCACTTAACAGCTCAACCAGCTCAAGATTCTGATTTCTCATTGATCTCTCTTACATAAACACAGTTAACTACACATCTTAGCCAACCATCTCTCTTGCTTCACCTCTCTTTTCTCGGGACGTATAGACCAATTAAAAATAACTTTCAATAAGACTAAAAATTATTGTATTACTTGAGTAATATTTTGGATGCACATAACGTGTGAGTTTTTTATGTTTGATACAGTTTCTGTTGACGTTATTGGTTATACAATCTAGTACATAAACCTCCTATCTAGAGTGTGTAAAAAATAGAAAATTTGACATTGAATTTGACTCCGTTGGAGTTTAACTGAGTCGAAGTCAGAGTCAGAGTTGGAGTCTGAAATTATTTTCAAAAAAACTCTGATTCCAAGACTCCAATTTTAATTAATAAATAATTTTATATAAATTATAAATCATATAATATATTATTATATGAAAATTTAAAATCTCTATCTAAAATTTGGCCTAAATCCCTATTATGCAATTCAAAAACTAGCCCAAATGTTAAAAAAATGATCAAAATATCATTCAAATTGGCCCAAATCCAACAAAAAGTTAGAAAAAAGGGGGGGGGGGGGATTTTTTTAGGTCAGCTCACAGTAATGATCTTTTAGGTCAATTAGTCAGTGTGTATACTTTTTGCGTCATTAAGGACAAGTCTGTGAGAAAAGACAATAAGAACCTTAAAATAAAGTCAGAACCTAAAAATCTTCATCCATATCCTAAACAATATCACGCAAATCTCTCTCTAATTGATCCTAAAAAATTTCACCCAGATTCTAAAAAATCTCACATAAATCGCTCTCCCCTTCAAGTACGTCGTGTGACTGTTATTGTGATCACGTGTGTGTGTGTGTGTGTGTGAGAGAGATAATATGACGAAAGAGGGATGAGAGAGAAGAGAAATATATTCAATTGGACAGTTGGATAATTATAACAACAAAATGTCTTTTAATTTATGGTCAGAATAGGAAATAAAAAGAAGAAAAAGAGTCCTATGGATCTACTTACCAAATAGAGTATATCTAATATTCTTACTGACCCAATAAGATCGCATCTAGACCTATTAGCAGAAGAGATTGTCATATTATACTTGATTTCAATTTTCATGAAAAAAATATATATATAAAAATCAATAAAAATTGGACCAAATCCGGCCCAACTCGCAAAACTTAATCCGACCAACTCTAAAACTCTACTCCACCTCTAACGAGATAGAGTCGAAAGCAAACCCATAATAATTTGAAATTAGAGTCAGAGTCAAAGTCAAAGGGCAAAATCCCCTTCGACTCCAATCAGAGTCGGAGTAAGTGTCTATGCTCTCCAGCTTTGTCGAAATCGGAACCCACGCCTACTTCTGTCAATATCAAGATTTTAAAGTAAATACTATAAGTTTTGAAAAAGTAAATTCTCGAGCTCAAATCCACAAACCTTCTTTTTTTTTGTACTTTTTTTGTCATAAACAATACAAACACATGATGAAGGGTAACTTCGATGGCACTCATACACAATGAGCATGGTAAAAAAATATGTATGACATTTTGAGAAATTCAGAACAAAAATGATAGCATCTATAGATTCATGTTCATTAATGACCAAAATGCACCTAGCAAATATTATCAAAATTTCCACCATACAAAAGAGAGCCACTGCATGACTGCATCATACTACCATAGAAATTCGTTACAACTTTCAGGTGACAGAACAATGAACTATTATATATCCTTACTTCACACTATTGTGCCCTCATTAACAAAATCTTATCAAAACATATGCCAACAATTATTTGTGGTACTTCAATCTTCCGGCCACCACAAACTGCAAATTCAGTAGCCTTTGTCGATAACCACAGGACTATCCAAAAAACGCGACTTGTAGGTCATCTGACTGCCAAATTTGTGGAAGAGCAGCACCAAGTGACATGAGCATGTAGCTTCAAACTTGACATTAAAAAAGCCTTCTCTCCTGACCACTCAGTGCACCTTAGCCCCAGTTATTTATCCTTTTCAACACTCCCAATAATTATCTCTATGTTACAACATCTATAATGCTAGCTCCTGATGGAAGCTGCAGAAGTTTAACTATTAATCTCCATCATCTATTTCCAAGTAACTTCA